CAGGAAGCCGAAGTATCGAACAAAAATTCAATGGAAAAGGCAAAGAAAGTCAATGAACAAAGTTTTTTTTTCCTGCTCGATGGGGCGGCGGCGGCCAAACAAAAAAATAAAACTTTTTGACTCAACGATGTAATGACTTATATATATATATGCATCATACACTCACTCACACGGGCCAATTCATGTGCGACGCTCGCCCACTTGTAACTGTTATCGTATATCGCTGCCGGCAACTTCAAGTTAGCAACTATTTTACCAAAACTACCACAAAATCAAACGAAACCCTAACATTCACTGCATCGACTTTTTTCTTACTCTTTAACTCTCGCGGCTGCCATTGATGCTGCGGTTCATTTTTTCCCCATTTCTTTTGGTCTTTCTATCGCTCTCTCTGTACAAACATTCATGAAAGGAGTGTTTGTCAGCGCTTTCGTTTATGCGAAATTGATTTCACCAGAAAAAGTTTTGCCATTCAATGGCCAAAAATTCAATAAATAATTTTTCATGAATAAAGGTGAACATGAGCGCACCCACACCCACACGTGTAAAAAAGACGATCATGTATTTTGTATGTGAGAGACAATTGACGGAAATTGTTTGCTTGTTTCGAAATAATTTGCACGGAAAAGGAACCAGCGGGTGCAACAACAACAGGCAAAATGAGTGCAACGAAATCACATTCGCAAAGGATAAAGCGAAGAAGAGTTTAAATAATGAAATTTTCACTATGGAAACTAGTTATTCAGGAATTGTTTTGAGCGAGCGAACCAACGAGCAAACGAGAAAAAAAAAATGCTCCGCGCGGAACGCATTCGCCTTTTCAGTTGAATGACATTGTTCCGTCGACTCTCACACTGCGCTTGTGTTTTACGATTTTAATTTTGAAATATTTTCATGCAAGAAATTTTATGACAAGACATTGTCGGCGTGTTTTTTTTTTACCCACATCAGGAATATCGCATAGCAAAATATTGCATCGCAAACCAAACAAACCGCCATCCAAGATACCACCACCACTCGGTGCTCGTCGCAGCCCTTGTCTCTTCAATCGCGCACACAAAATGCAAAAGACGAAAGAGAAAAAACACCGAGCAAATTTATAGATAGAAATATGAGTGGTTGATTTTCACTAGTTGAAGCGATGTAGTGAAACTTGCCACGGAGAGAGAAAAATAGAGCAAACACTCATATATATGCATGGAGATGGAAATGTGGCTGGTTGGCAGTGCACCTCGAGTGATCGTAAATTCCGAAAATGTATGTTATTTGCTTAATATTTATGCGTTTATTTCGGTATTTGTATGTGAATGGATGTGCGTGGCACAGCATGCTTATGTGCTTGAGCTTACATGAAAATATTAAAAGTCAAGTATTCAAACCCTTGGACATCAATGAGATGAGTGCACGGGCGTCGAGCGGAATATTGCACAGAATACGAGTGTGGAGGAGACAAGGGCGGATGAGACAGAGTGAGCAAACGATGATGCAAAAGAAAGGTGAATCGCAAAACTTCCCGAGGTAGAAAAAGTATTAAATCAGCTTGTGAGTTCCGATGAAAGCAGCTTTTTTGCATGCTGTCCCGACTGAAGCATCTGGTTAGTTTCGATTAAGAACGCACGGTAAGTGTTGTGTTTTTATAGTTCAACCGGTATAGGTGTATTGTATGTATGTATATATGTATAATTGGTATGGCAATATAGATACACCCTTGTAGCCAGTGCTTACATTAACATCCAACACATACACACACCGTGTGTAACAGAATGTAAACAACATTTTGTTCGTTCACATTTTTTGTTTGTTTCGTTTTTTACCGCTCGCTATCCTTCATTTGATAAATGCATCGCTAAGACTTTGACAACAGCAACAGCAACAAAGCGAAGCAAAGCAAAAAAGACTTCAAAAATTGTACGCATCGCGAAAAATATTAAGGAGTGAATGATGCTGAAAGGAAACAAAACGGAATGGTTTACTTTGAAAGCGTCGTAAGAAACCAATATGCAGTGTGCACAAGAGGCGCATGCAAAAGTTGTAAAGGAAAATTACTGGAAAACTTGTGCAATATTATGCTTCTTCTACCTGACTAACGTTTTAAAGAACAGAACAAAGAAGACGGAGGAGCAGAAGAAGGGGAAGAAAAAACAAAAGCCCCAACAATAGCGTCACATTAGCCTGGCTTGTGTTGTGTTGCTTTTAGTTACGCTAATGCATTTCTTGCTCAAATTAAACCAGCACCGAGCTCATACACACACACACACACACATACACCACAAACGCATGCAAATGAACGGAGTCAACAAACGAGCGCCGTTGCTGTTCTAAAAGGCACATGAAAGAAAAACGAACAAATAGTCATTGTTGCAACAACGAAAACCACCCAACGAACACAAGAAGAGAGAAAAAAAACTCAATCGCCCGAGCTGAAAAGTTAGAGAGCTAGGTGCGGTTTAAAAATTATACTTTTTTTCGTTACATAAAACTGGAAATGCAATTTCTACTCGCCGATCCGATGCAAACTAAATAAAAGTTATGGTCAGCAACAATGGCGCTATAATTGTTGTTAATTCCGAGCACAGCGGAGCAAACACATTCATATTTGGTTTTTATGATGAAATTTTGTATAATAATCAATTTTCTGGTGTGCTGTCATAACGCTAGAACCACACAAATACACACACACACACACACACGGCGGTCTCTCTCACCTGGTTTGGGTCGGTATTGTGCGACAGACTGAGCTGCACTTACTATGAATTTAGATGTCACCTAAAAGTCATAAAATTTTATTGGCATCACCGTTGGAAACAATTTGTGTACAACATTTTGATATTAAGTTTTGTGAAATATGCGTTCGTAAATTGTGTGTGCGCGCGCTCTCACTCTCACTCTCTCTCTCTCTCTCTCTCTCTCTCTCTCTCTCTCTCTCTCTCTC